AATTCAAACACGAAATACAAAATCATCATTAGCACATATCAAACATCATTTACACAGACCAAAACATGTGCATCATCTGGAACAACAACATGCACAAAAAAAATTTCAAATCGGAGAAGAGGAAGCTGGGAGCACGATGAGGACAGCGTCACGGTCGGAGAGGAGGGAGCCGGGAGCACGGGGCAGCACGGTCGGAGAGGAGGGAGACAGGAGCACGGTCGACGGCGTCGAGGTCGGTGCCACCCTCCCCGTGATCCGGTGGCGGCGGATCCGGCCTCCCCGCCCGCGCCCGAGCTCCACTTCCCGTTCCCGAGAGCCACCGCCCGCACCCGAGCTCGCCGTCGCCTTCGTCGCGCAGTCCTCCGTTGCCGGCGCTGGAGGATTGGAGGGAGAGAGGGAGTGGAGGGAGGTGGAGGAGAGATAGGATAAGGACGAGGCTGGTGTGGGGGCGGTGATTTTATAGCGTTAAATTTTATTTCGCTGACGGTGCTGTAACTTGCTGCCAGCGAAAACCCGATTTTTTATGACAGGCCTCTTAGCATCGCCGCTAGCAAAAATAGAACTATTTTTTTGGTAGGCCTCTTAGCTTGGCTGCCAGCGAAATTTTCGCTGGCGGTCTGTAACTCCTCACCCCTCATTATATTTTTAGTGACGGTTTTTGCCTATTACCACCAGCGAAAAATTATAGGGTACACGTCGTAGACCTTGTAGCGGTTCAGCACGCCCACCTGGTGATAGACCTTGTGGAGCAGGCAAAATATTAGTGGTTAAACATCACACAGTACGCTGGAATGAATGATGCAGATCGATGCTAATTGTGGTGTGGTGTGCAATTGAGATCATCAGTAATGGTGGTGAATGGTGACTGACTTGTACCGGTTGACGACGTTCTACCTGGGGCATCATCCGAGCTCGTTTGCGGAGGCTCATGGCGACATCGTTGGGGACGGCGCCGAACATGGTGACCACCTTGGTGAGACCGGCCGGAGTCACCGAAGAGGCCGGGCAATGAGTACTTTTGACCTTTGATCTTTGGCATTGTTTCCCTCTGACCTGAAAATTTATATTTTGATGTTCAGCAGCAAATAGTTATATTTTGAGAGTTTCCTAAAGATCGATTTTTATATGTCCAAAGAGGATTATTCTTTAATTTCATTTGTTGCAGAGGTAATGACGTTGATTCAATTCCTTTCCGTTGCAAAATATAATGAGAGAGAGAGCAGCCAAGCCCTGGCCTGCCTAGCTCAGCGTGTGCAGGGCAATCTGATCACCACCTCAACCGGTCAACATGTATTCTTTAATAGCTACCAATTTAAGTTGTGATCCTTTCACATAAATTTTTAAGGTGGTATTAATCTATTAACATTAATTGTGGACCAATGAAATTTATTAGAAAGAAAACGGGTCTAGTCTATTTATTGTAACAGAAACTAAGTAGAAATTAACTTTCCAAATATAACATTTTTTGACGTGAACATTCCAAATATAACATGCATCATGCCCACTTCACATGTGCAGATTGCATCGAGGAAAGCTAACGCGCGCGTGCGTATCGTCAGCGCGCGATTCCAGAGAACGTATCTAACCCGCGTAAAATCTATTTTCGTTTTTCCTTAACCAGCGACGCCTGAATATGGAGAAGACGTGGAGTCTACTACATCGGACTCGTACTACATGCATGCATGCCCTTTTTCCTCTTTAAACAAAGTTTTCTCTCAAATTACTTATCCGATCTATAATCCGATTACACCATTGTGTTCGTTACAATTAAATCTTCACAACAAGATCTTACATGATTATATTATGATGAAAAAATATTTATATTTATAAATTACTTTTATTATATACATAAGTTACTTTTATCATATATATAAGTTACTTTTAGATTTAACTAAATTACTTCTTAGACATATAAAAGTAAATTCAATAAAGTTTAAAAGTAATTTACATATATTATAATATAAAAGTAACTTAAACGGACGTAACTTTGTCACGATATTAGAAGTAAATTCGTTGTAGGGATAAAAATATGACTTCGTGTCATATGAAAAAAAGGCATTCATTAAAGTTATTTTCTTTTTGTTATAAGTTACTTCTATAATATATGTAAATTACTTTTAGGTTTTATTGAATTTACTTTTATATGTCTATGAAGTAATTTAGTGAAATCTAAAAGTAATTTAGATATATGATAAAAGTAATTTATAATTTTTCATCAAAATATAATCATGTAAGATCTTGTTGTAAAGATTTAATTGCAACGAACACAACGGTATAATCGGATTATAAATCGGATAAGTAATTTAAGAGAAACTTCTCTAAGAAGAAAAAATACATAGATATTGAGTGCACTAGTAGCTTTTTTTTTTTGGAAAGAAGAGTGTCTCTCTTTAGCACTATCCAGCTAGCACTCTCGGTGTAGTTGTGTCCATCTAACCCGATTAGTTTAGGAGAACATAACTAACTTGATTAGTTTAGGATAATGATGGTAATTAAGGAAATATTTTCCTTTTTCGGAATTTTTTTATTGTAATAGATTGAAAATAAATCTATACATGAAAAAAATTTTCACGTAAAATTTAAAACTTTCAACTTAAAATTTGAAACTTTAAACTCATTTTAAAATTTTATTAACTCGAAATTTGAACTTTCGAGTTAGACATAAAATATTTTGACTTAAGATTTAAACTTTGAAGTTAAATTTTGAAATTTTTTAACTTGAAATTTAAATTTATAAAACAAAATTTGAAAACTTTCAACTCAGATTTGAAAACTTTTAAATCAGGTTTGAAAACTTTCAACTCGAGATTGAAAACTTTCAAATCCATATTTGAAAACTTTCAACTCAGATTTGAAAACTTTCAACTCAAGATTGAAAACTTTCAAGTCCATATATGAAAACTTTCAACTCTGATTTGAAAACTTTCAAATTAAAAAAATAAAAAAGAATGCAAAAAAAATGGAAAATGCGCTGAGGAAAAAACATCGTGGAAAAAAGAGAAAAAATCGCACGAAAAGAATAGCTAAACAAAAAAATCCACGTGTAGCGGTGTTGGGCGCGCGCGCGCCATTTCCGTATATGGCGCGCGCCTCTTCAATCAATATCGAACTTGATAAAATTAGTCTCTTGTGTCGTTTTGGCTTTGGTTCGTATGCACCAGATCAGATAAGTTTGTGTAGTAAAATGAGTATTTTTACAAGTCTATACACTAAGGTGCATCCACCTAACAAATTATATACCATCAATACAATTTAATCTATTTAATTTATCCTATAATCAAATCAACAATCCGTAACAATAATCGGCTCAGCAATAAATCAAACAAGGCCTAAAAATAGGGGAAAATATTCGTCCTGTATTTGGCCCCTATCATAGACAAGAACGTTTTTGTCACGTCGCTAAACAGAAGAGAGCATACAAAAAAAAATCTATTGATAGTGGCGTTTGACAGTTGAGAGTAAGAACAAGTATGCATCGAGGACATTGTACTAGACTAGAGGCAGCTAGCCGACGCAACGTCTTGGACTGGATTTCTTGATATACTACCTCGCCGTTGACTTTTTTAAAAATATTTGACCGTTCTTCTTATTCAAAAAATTTAAGTAATTGTTAATTCTTATTTTATCATTTGATTTATTGTTAAATATATTTTTATGTATACATATAGTTTTACACATATCACAAAAGTTTTTAATAAAACGAACGGTCAAACATGTTTAAAAAAGTCAACGGTGTCAAACATTTAAGAAAGGAGGGAGTATATTAGCCGTCAACTTTTCTTATGTTTTTACCTTTTAGGACGCGTGCATATATGTATATGCAATTCAATTAGTCACTTAAGTACATACTGACGTTACATACATATATAATTCCTTGAAGTCTCGAAGCAACTTCTTGAAATTTAATCTTATTGGCACATCCAGTACAGTGTAGAAATGTAAGCTAAGTCTGCGTTTATCATTTGAATTCTTTAGTACTTTATATAGATGTCTACATCACAAGGCAAATTTAGATCAATTGTCAAGAAATATGACCAATTGGGTTCTCGAATTTCGACTCTGACAGGAGCAGCGAGTATGTGGTTTTGGAAATCCTCGCTGCATTCGTCTATGGGCACAAGCCATTGGTTTTAGAAATTCCCCACAGTAACACTGCACATATAAAGCTAACCCCCTTTTTAAATGCTAATATATACTGTATTAAGCTTATGATTTACATTCCAGTTGATCATTTCCACGCCCACGTGCACAGAAAGCTACAGCGGAACACCTGACCAGCAGGCCATGACCAGCACCATATGTGTGTGACTGAGACTCCAGAGAGAATGTTCAAATTCTCAATTCTAAATGCCAGGTGGTGTAAAAAGTTACCGCCTTTATCCACGAACATGTACTCCCTCTATCCCATAAAAAACCAACCTAGAACCGGATGTGTGTCACATCCGGTTCTAAATTCGTTTTTTTAAGGGATGGAGGAAGTAGGAATTTTGGGATTTTAGTATTATCTCCGTCCCAAAATATTGTAATCTAAGATAGATCAAATTTACGAAAGTTATCTATCTAGACTCGTTATTTTAGGATAAAACCCATCCTAAGTTACAACATTTTTTTGACGGATGAAGTATTTTCGTAGAGATTAAAAATAAAATGGACAAAAAGACACACGTACCCTCATCAAAATTACATGAAGGTAAGTGGGTAAAAGGTTCAATATTTTAAGATCCCTAAGAAATATAGGTCAAATTTGAACCTAGATCTCTATATTTGTGGACGAAACAGGAAATTACGAGCTGAGGAACGAAAAACAAACTCTCTCTCTCTCTCTCTCTCTCTATCTATCTGATCGTTAATCCTTGTCAACAGTCCTTCCAAATTAAGGTCATTCAGACGTCCGGTCATAAAAAAGAGGAACTAAAACTACTTTTCTATCCTAATTCACGCTTCAAGCTGGTTAATTAATAATTAAAATAACAATTTACAAACGACCGGATTAACTGAGTCGTGTCCCATCCCACCTGCGCACCCAGCCCGGTAATCTCCAATTATTCTCCATTCTCCCCCACGGTTTAAGATCATTCCGTTCGCCATGTTCAACGAGCACGTAAGAACACACATGTACACCCCAGCTACGTACGTACGCTCGCTCGCTAGCTGCGAGCGATGGATCGGCACAGTATAAATAGAGCCCCAGTTTCATCAGCTTTCTCAAACCACGCAGCCACGACACATCGATCTCCCATCTCCTTGTGCAGCCGCTGATCTCTATAGCTAGCATCCTCTGATCCATTGATCATACAAGCACTTACCTAGCTAAGCTAGCTCGCTTGCATTTGCTATATAGTTTGAATTTGTCACCCACAGCGTCGACGTTCATGGCACCTGTTCCGGCCACCGCCGCCGCCGCCGCCCCTGCGGCCGTCGTCAGCACCCACGAGATCCGGCGTGCGCAGCGCGCCGATGGCCCGGCCACCGTGCTCGCCATCGGCACGGCGAACCCGGAGACGTGCGTGCCGCAGGATGAGTACGCCGACTTCTACTTCCGCGTCACCAAGAGCGAGCACCTGCCTGAGCTCAAGAACAAGCTCAGGAGAATCTGTAAGCATTATGCATCCATGCATGCACATTGTGTATATATGTTGTTAATTTCAAACCATTTTTCTTCTCTTTTTCACCTTAGAAATATATGTAGTAGTAAGAACAAGATTGAAAAAGTATATGGATGCACATTGCATTGGGCAAAGTGTTAATTAAGCTTCAATTTCCACACAAAAAAAACTTCCATTTTACTATACAATCAATTCCAACAAATTTTAGATCGATTGACTCATTGTATATCTTTGGGATGGTGCGAACTGAAACTTATTTTTTTTTCACCTTGATGCAAAATTTAACTTGCAATACTTCATCCGGTACAAAGTGTAATTTAGCGCATTATAATTGAATAAGCAAATAACAATAATTAGTGCATTTCATGTGTGCTAATGTGTGGATGTACGTATGTTTCAGGTAACAAGTCAGGCATCGAGAAGCGGTTCATGTTCGTGAACGACGACGTCATGGAGGCACACCCGGAGTTCGCCGACCGACACCTGACGTCACTCGACGCCAGGGTGGAGATCGTCTCCAAGGTCGTGCCGGAGCTCGCCGCGGCCGCCTCGGCGAAGGCGATCGCCGAGTGGGGCCGGCCGGCCACCGACATCACCCACCTCATCTTCAGCACCTACTCCGGCGTCAAGGCGCCCGGCGGCGACCGCCTGCTGGCGTCGCTCCTCGGCCTCCGCCCCACCGTGTCGCGCACCGTGCTCAGCCTCCACGGCTGCTACGGCGGCGGCCGGGCGCTGCAGCTCGCCAAGGAGCTCGCCGAGAACAACCGCGGCGCGCGCGTCCTCGTCGCCTGCGCCGAGTCCACGCTCATCGCGTTCTACGGGCCCGAGGTGGGGTGCAACGACACCATCATCGGGCAGGCGCTGTTCGGCGACGGCTCGGGCGCCGTCATCGTCGGCGCCGACCCGGTCGGCGCCGTCGAGCGCCCGCTGTTCGAGATGGCGTTCGCGTCGCAGGCCACCGTCCCGGACAGCGAGGGCGCCATCACCATGCAGCACAAGAAGGGCGGCATGGACTACCACATCGGCGGCGGCGTGCCGGAGATGCTCGCCGGCAGCATCGAGCGGTGCCTGGCCGACGCGTTCGGCGCCATCGGCGTCGCCGCCAGGTGGAGGGACCTCTTCTGGGCCGTCCACCCGGGTGGCCGAAGGATCCTGGACCTCATCGAGGAGGCGCTCGGGCTGGACAACGGCGCCATGGCGGCGAGCCGGCAGGTGCTGCGCGAGTACGGCAACATGAGCGGCACCACGGTGATCTTCGTGCTCAACGAGCTGCGCCGCCGGTTCGTCGCCGACGGCGCCGAGGGAGCCGACTGGGGCGCGCTGATGGCGTTCGGGCCGGGCGTCACCGTTGAGACCATTTTGCTCCGCGTCGGAAGCGGCCTCAAGGGAAATTAAATAAACTTAAGTAAATTTAATTATTTTACTTATACATGAATTGCATTCTATTGGAAGGTAAGTCCTATAATAAAATGTGTTGAGTCCTACCACTTTGTTTGTCCGTTTGGGTCATGGACATTTTTAATTAGGGCATCAAGTTGAGGGAGTAGCTCTGCTAAAAGGAGAGATGTTTGGACCTTAACTGGGTGTTTTGGAAGTGACCTTGAACCCAAAAGTGTGGAGTAGCTATAATCATGGTCATGCATGCCATTTGTTAATTACTGCTTAATGACGATCTTTGTAATATCAAAAGTTAAATAAATAAAGATCTTTGTGCGCAGTTACAGTTCGTTTACACAGCAAAATTTCGTGTACTTCAACGCAATTCATATTTTGCGAATTTTGTGCATTTCTGAATTTAAATAAAATGCGCTAATTGGATGTTTCTGATTATCAAAGTTCATACTATATATGTCCAATTTAAAATAACACTTTCCTAACTTAAACTAAATGATCAAGCTAGAATTTCTTAGTTTTAGAATTTCGTGCGACACATCAGTGTCTAACCCCACGTGGCACATATCAGATTCAAACTAATAAAAATAGAAACTACTATGTTCGTTCAAAGAAAAACGAATTTACTATAAATGTGTCGCCATATTTACTATAAAAACGAATTTAACATATATTTACATTGTAAATCCCTAAATTACATATGTAATTTTAGTGTATTTATAATGTAAGACCATAAATTACATATGTAAGTTCTAAAATTACATTTGATAGATTTTTATCTAAAAATCTGTCACCATATATTTAGATAGACCTAAGAAAAAATAGAATTAATCATTTTAACTAGAATGTGAATTTATAGAGGATTGTGGGTGTATGATTTTGATTGTTGCGCATCCATAGCAATTAAAAACCGGTTCAAGAGAAACTTCAAGACATCTGGTACTTACCATGAGAAAGAGTGAGTAACAGTGTTGGACTTGTATAACTAGCTCCTCTTCTAAGCACCCAAACGAGGGAAGGTGTGATGGAGTTTGGTTGGCCCTGCTTTAGTGGCTAAGTGGTTTCCGAATTCATTATGTCACAAGAGGGGGTGGGTGTGAACGGTCAGGAGTGAGTTATGCGAAGGGTCTTATCATAATCATTTGCATGGAGACGTGTCAGATTTGTAACATGATGGTAGATTGTGTCTTGTGGATACAGTTGTATATCTTTGGCCAAAGTAAAACTATTCGAATAGCTAATCCATAATTATGAGGCGATCGACCTGCTTCAGTGCAATTAGTCCCACACTTTTTAATTCGCTTGACTTAATAAATTAGTGTAGATCAGGTGATTCGTTGAGCTTGTCCAACATAGTGTTGTGTTGTTCAATGGAGATTAATCTTACTTTAATCAATTAACCAATTTAATGTTTTAAACTATAAATGTTCATAACTGTATTTATGCAAAGAGCCATAAACCTCCATTTACTAGTGTGGCCTGCTAAGTACGGTGGTTGATACTCAGCCTTTTTATAATATCTTCTTTTTAAAAGTTTAGTGACTAAATGCTGAAAATGAAGTTACTGGACCAAGGCTTATATCCTACTTAAACATGCCAGTCGAGTGGAGATGTAGCTTCGTATAACGTCCGTGTATTTCTTAAAATATCAATTTAAATTTTATTTAAGCGTCGCTCTTTTCTCCCCTGTTCAAAATCTCCAAAAATTTCAAAGTTACTTTTAATCTTGCTTTTATTTTTTCCCGGCCAAAATAATTTTTTTTCTTTCCATCCGAATATTTTATATATTCTCGGAATTTTCCTTCTCCGGAGTAATTTTTCCGGAGCCGGGAGTTCGTCCTTTTTTTTTCCTCTCACCAGCACACGTGCAAGCATGCGCGCCTTCTCTCTTTTCCTCACCGAGAGACAAGCAGACTCATCAACCTTTTTCATGCATGCACAAGCTCTTCTCTCTTCCTCCTCTGCCACCCTTTTTCGTAAACTCTCTGCAAACCCAGCGGTTAGGCACAGCTCTGCCTCCTCCTTGACAGAGCTTCCTGCAATCCCAGATGGTCGTTAGGCACCGTTCTGCCGTTTCACAGTGAAAGGTTGGTATCAAAACATGAATTCGGCAATAATAAAAGAGGTAGCGTATGAGACATAAAAGTGAATGAATGCGGAGACAATGGATTTAGAAAGGTTCATGCCCTCTCAATGACAGGTAATACCCTACTCCTGTTTAGAGATTTGAATCCGCCGAGTATAGTATAGATATGACGATCATATGTGCTCATACCTCCTAGAGGGCCTCCTACCTACCTTATATAGGATGGGGGGCAGGATTACAAAATAACCTTAACCAAATACGGTATCGGTTTTCTAAATCTACTTTACAATATTAACAAACCAGGATTTTATGCCGTTCCATAATATAGAAGAAAACATAATACCCAAATCATGATCTGTTATATATTCCATAGATATAAGTTATCCTCTATAATAAGTCGGAATAACTAGTCAGATAACCATGTCGTGCGGCTACGGCGTATTCATAGTCTCCACAGTTGGCACTTGGCACCGCTCCGCCTCTTCGGCCGAGCAAGGTAGGCGGCGTCGGCAGCAGCAGAGAGAGCTGTGGATGAAGAAGCAAGAACAGTCACAACAATGGCGGACGTTCTCGTTGCCAGACTCGCCTGCGGAATCACAACAGAGAGTATAAATACCCCACTGCGCCGCCTTGCCGTCACCATGACGCCACCACCACGCCGCCTCCCTGCCCGTGAGCCTGTGCGCCGCCACCCACCACCGCGCGCGCCGCCCGGCCGCCGCACCTTGCCGTGCCGGCAGCCGCTCCGCTCGGTCGAGAGAGAGAAGAACGAGAGAGAAGAGATAAGAAAGGAAGAGAAGAAGCATGAGAAAGAATAAGAGAAAAGGAGGTGGGACACATGGGCCCCACATCTCCCCCTCTCCCTTTGACCCGTTGACCTGATGCCGGACCCACTCAGAATATTCCCTGAAATATTCCTTTCTGTTCTTTCAGTAAAAGAAATCCTCGTAACTTCAAAAATCCATATCTCTTCATCCCTAACTCCGTTTAACTCCATTCAAGTGCCAAAATCTTCTAAAATCCTCCTCTATTTAATGGCACTGTATTTTTTTTTGTGTTTTGTTTTGTTTAGCAGTAGTTTTATGTATTGTTTATTTTCTCGCATATAGAACCCGAGGTGGATGGAGGATTCGCGCAGGAGTTCGATGCTCCGTTTGTTCTCGCAGGTCAAGGCAAGCCCCCTTGACCACTTCTTGCACCTATATTTTTAACTAAGTATTTTGTTTGCCAAATTGCATCTTTAGGTCGCATTGTTTGGCCACGATTCGAATATGGATTGTTGGGCCTTCCTAGTAGTCACACTTTTATTTTGTAGTTGATGACCCCTTTCTTCGTAGCTCCACTGTATATTTTCCTCGGTATTCACACTGCCGAAGTAGACTACCTATATAGGTTACGATTGTGCGTACTAGCGTGTGGGAAAACTTGGATACTCATTATTACTCATTTATTTCGAAGACCTGACGAGATGTCAGTGTGGTTACGAAGTGGAGAAGTGTTTTATAAAAACTTGATGATGCGGGAGTCAGTACCTGGTCGTTTGGCTACGTATTATCCATAAGTATCGTTTCCTTTGAGAAATTCATTCAAACATAAAACAATACGACCAAAACATGCTGGACACCTACGTTTTAGCTACCTGCGATAGTGACCGACATGACGCTATACCGGATGTGCCCCTTCGGGGGTCAGAAGGTATATTTCGAGCATTCTTTTTTTCCAAATAAAACTAATAGTTTTATTAGTTTGTCGCATTTCATGCTTTTTCAAATCATGAAATTTGACTAAGTTCGGGGCAAAAGGTTTCCCCCGAACCCCCCTTCCAAAAGGTAAATGAAAGGTTGAGAAACTTCCATTTGATTTGGGAAGGTGTTTCTCAACCACTACTTTTAGGAACAAACAACTCTAACGACTAAAACGGGTCTTGGCAAGACCCTTAACGGAGAGGACTTCTTCTTTTAACACGAACTCCGCGAACGGTCCCCCCAAACCCCCCGCAGGGGCTCCAGCTCGCCCTTCGGGGTAGAAGAACTTGTTAGTTGTAGTTGTTCCGAAGGGACAAGTTGCTCCCCTCTGCTAACCAGAGGAAGCACTTTGGAAAATAAAAACTTGATGTATACCTCCGGGCAGCAGAGCAGAGGGAACGGAGCCCTCGTCCCGAGGGGATACTAATTCTCTTTCTTAACTACTTATTAATATATGATATAGAGGAATACCTATTCCTATCAGTAGATAGACAAGCATACTATAAGATGCTATCTGGGTAGATAGCATCATATAGTATCAATGGATAGCAGAGCCTACAATCGGGTTGGAGCCCTCCTTTTGGGGTCTTACCCACCCTCGAGTCCAATCTCGGGTGGGCGCTTATGGCAAGTCCCATTCCCTAGAACTTATCCGTGGATCACCTCCCCTTTACCCGAATCCACAATCGGATACTAAGATTTACTTTTTAAAGTAGCAATCTTTCTAGTGTTGATTTTACCAATTCAATGTTTCAGATAATTGCATCTTTTTTTAATCAAGTATTTTTATTTTATAACTTTCTTTTTTAAAAAGTGCTTTGTTAAAAAAACACATGTCCCTAACAATGACAAGTGGTGTTATAGCGCTCGCTAGAAGGCATCTCGACCCTTTTTGAATTGAAGGTAGAATCATACAAGGACCACCTCAAACTAGCTAAATAGTGAAGGCCCACAAGGGGTAGTTCTCTCTAGAGAAATGAGCTAGAACCACGGCTTCCTTTTTTTTTAAAGAAAACTGACGCAAGGTTACTTTCGTGATAGCTGAATGCTTCAAGAAAGGCCATACAACCAGGTTAATATTGCCAAATTAGGTAAAATGGTGCCATATTTATGACTTAAAATGACCAGTGAACCTTTTGTTGCAACAGCAGTTGTTTCCTGAGAAACCAATCATCCAGTACAGCCACGCCGGTAGGGTTCGATTCCCCCAAGCCTAGAATCTGGAATGAGGGAAGGTCTCATCTTGTCGATAGCCTAGCTTAGAAGTGCCATAGGAACCTATCTGGAAAATCAGCCCCCGGGGATAATGCAAAACTCTGACTTCGAACTCGATGTTAGGGACATTCCCTGGCAAGAAAAGGTTAAAGAGTTGAGCAACAAAAGATGAGAAGGCACTGGTTGTGGACCACTTTTCTTGTCGCTAGCGGGAAGAGCCCACTGGATGGATTCCAAGGGGATCCTATCCTGCGATAGTGACCAACGCGACACTATACTGGAGGTGCCCCTTCGGGGGTTAGAAGGTATATTTCGAGTATTCTTTTTTTCCAAATAAAACTAATAGTTTTATTAGTTTGTTGCATTTCATGCCTTTTCAAATCATGAAATTTGACTCAGTTCAGGGCAAAAGGTTTCCCCCGAACCCCCTTCCAAAAGGTAAATGAAAGGTTGAGAAACTTCGTGGGATGCCATTGGCCGAGCAAGTAGCTAAAACGTAGGTGTCCAGCATGTTAGCGGTTGAGGAGCACTGGTATGGTGGTGTATATGCCAATCTCCTGTAGTGGGAATGTGTTGGAGTCCATATGGTGGGGCCTGGGTAGATGAGGGCCTGAGCCTGGCCTGATGCTTGGTGGAGAGATTCCACCCAACTGTGGGACATGTGGTATTTATGGGTTGGTTATGGAAAAGCCTTGTAGTGAACTCCCCTTTGTCATCCATGTCTGATCCACAAGTGATCGTAATGTGAAGCGTTCACTACGTGTGGGTAAAGCGTGCAACCTCTGCAAAGTTTAGTCAAACTGTTTAAACAGCCGTCCCACGGTCATGGGCATATGTGAGGTGTTTCTCATAGTGTAGTGTTTGTTTTAAACTTATTAAATTGATTCTTGGGATGGGAATCGTTACCAGAGTTTGCCTTTGTGGCAGACGACCATCCTTCGTGGTTGGGAACGAGCCTATGTGGTTCGGGATGCCGATTGGCACCAAGGTGTGGTTTAGGGCTAAGACCACCGTGGTAGAGTGGCTGAGATGGCCGAGTTGTGTTGAGATGGCACGGTGTTTGTATTTTACTCATTACTACAGTGACAGGTGCAAAGCAACCTGTGGAATGGAGTGTGGTGTGAGCCTTACTCTGAAACTAAAACTTGACACTCTAGAGGTTTGCAACTAAATTATTTAAAAACCTTGGGTTTTCCAAATGAAACTGTTCCACTCCTTGTTTTAACCTTGCATGTCATATTTTTCCCTGACTTGCTGAGTACACTGAGTACTTGCCCTTGTTGATATTTATATTTATAGAGTTAGAAGAAGGATACCTCAACCCTTCTGCCGAGGCCTACTTTCAGGAGCAGGCCAAGTACGATTTCTCATGGTTTCAAGCCTAGTTCCCAAACATAGCTTTTGGATTTATGGTTGTCATCCTGCTTTTATGCTTTCGCCCACGTGTACCTTATCTTTCTAGTGTTTCTACCCGTCTAGGGTTTGTCCATGACGGTAGTAGTTTGAGACCTCCACCAATGTTGTAATAAAACTTTGTTATTTCTGGATTCCACTATTATTCTGTGAATACTAGCTTGTGTATACTGGGACTGGTACTGTAATCACAGGTAATGTTGTGACCCCCAGCCTATGCCGGTTTATATTCTTGACTGGCATAGTTTGGGGCGCCACACCCCGTTAGGATTTAGTGCCTAATTGGTAAGTATTTGTGTTTTATTTATGTTTGTATCTGCATATTAATTTTTCATTTTGCATATCTTGACTTGGTTCCTGCATAGAGATTTAATATACACAAAATGATCTAAAATTGACTTTTTTTTAATATGTCACCGGGGGGTGAAATGCCCACCTGAAAATAATATATATATATATATATATATATATATATATATATATATATATATATATATATATATATATATATATATACACGTCAAACAGACTTAGACAGGGCAAAGCAATAACTGCGCAAGGGCAGGCAACAGAGAGAATACACGGGGAAATACAAGGAAAGAGAAACACAAGGGCAACAGAACCACCCTAAACACACATTGATGTTTTCCATCAACAAGATCACATAGCCAAACACCCAAACCTAATGCTAGCTCCCTAGCTTGACACCATCTACTCCACAAGCAACCTAGAAACACCAAGAGTTGAGAAATACCGGGAGGCATTCTACCACGCACACCGGCTCGGCTTTTGGAGATCAAAGGTTGTGGTTGTCGAAGACCACCCGCGTAAGCCATCAAGAGTCAGATTTCATCGTATTGCAGATTTAGATCAATGACCACCAACGTCCTTCGGGAGAAGGAAACCCCAAAGGAGGGAGAGCCATTGAAGGTTGCGGAAAAGGCTGCCCGCATCAAATAATCTTCAATCCAGCATTATCAAGTTGCTAGCCAATTTAACGCCCACCAACGTCTCCCGGGGGAAGGAAGCCCCAAAAGAGGGCGAGACACTGAACGTATGCTGTCAAGGACAACCAAGTAAAGGAGATGAAGACTAGACATGAAGCCAGACAAAAGAGATGTGGTGAAAGGTAGCAATCCTATTAGTGGAGGGGAACATCAACGACAATGGTGGAGTCAAAAATCGCCAAGGAAGCCCGGGAAACAAACCAACTTGTAGACCCAAACTATCAATCACACGAGCATGCCAGAGAGAGTAGATTGAAGAAAGAGGGCCAAGGAACCGCATACTCATGATATATGGTGGATCAAGGGAAGGTTATTTAGGCCGGACAAGGAACAACGACCGAAATTAACACCAACCATGAGATGAACAGGGAGAGACACAGGGGAACAAAGGAGGGGATGAGGCAAACCGAAGCTGGAGTAGGCAAAGGGAGGAGAAGAACAGGAGGAGACGAACACCGGAGTAGGCAAAGTGTCGAGGAGTGATACTGGCGGATCGGATGTGTAGAGTATTGGGGTACGTTGGAACGAGGATCTACATAGTACGACATCGAGCAGACAAAAGACAAGGATTATACTGGTTCAAGCCCCTTATCAGGTAATAGCCCTAGTCCAGTTTATATCAGATTGATGATGATGAGAACAGATTACAAAGAGAGTAGTCGAAATAGATGTTACTGATGAGATCGTAATCGAAGGATTCGACGAGATCTCCCAGCGACTTGGCTCCATGTACTCCGGCTTTGTGAAATTTGGTGGATGTGTTCGCTCTAGAATTGGATACCCTGAACCCCTCCCAGGGGGTCCCTTTTATACCGTGGATCATCTTGCCCCCCAAGAAAGGTTTGAGGATACCGGACCTGGTACGGTATAGCAGAAACTCTATCTTTTCCGAGTAGGACTTTGGAAATCACCTGACTCGAAAACATATTTTCTATAATTTGTAATGGTTTCCATGCGACATTTACGGGAACAATCCGTATATGCGAAGGTATACCTTATTGGTATATTCCATAAGTAGCAGAATAGGAGGTATGCCTTATCTGTAACCCTGACACAAAGGTAGGAGAAGAGTAAGAGGAGACGCATGTCGAAGGACAAATAGGGAGACATCAACGGATTTCCAAATGTGCGGCCTTCAACAAAGGAAGGACATCGAGAACGACATCGCCGTCACACACCAAGGAAATCCAGAGAGGGTTTTCACCCCAAGACGAAGTGGTGTAGGGATAAGCCACGCACACCACCCCGTATCCAGCAGAGCCGACAAAGGAGCAGCGGATCTGGGCGCCGCCAGCCTGTCACGCCCTGAAGTTCCCCTCCTTGCTTTAAAATTCATAAAATAAATCGTCCGAAGAAATGATTTAATTTAACCTAGAGATGAATCCCTAATTAATAAATGCAAATAATAATCGGAATCGGTATGTGGAATTTTTCTTGGATTCTACATGTCAAAATATGCTAACAGGATTTTTAGTGGAATTTTCAGAGCCCAAAAAATAATTTTAACCAATTAAAAATGAGCACGTGCAATATTTAATCCCAGGAAAATCCCTTTTCCTTTCTTCTTTTTATTTTCCCTCTTTTTCCTTTGTTGGGCCGTCAGCCCATTCTTCCCGCGCTGGCCTTCCCTCGGCTGGGCCGGCCCAAGCTGGCTCCTCCCTTCCCCCTCCGGGTCACATACAGGTGGGGCCCATCTATCGGCCCCTTCTTCCAACTCCCGCCGCCGCTCCCCAAGCCGGCGGCAACCACCACCAAAGCCGCCCGGGCCGCCGCTTCCTCCGCTCCACCTCATGCCCCCACTCCGCTCATGTCCCGCGCCCACGTCACCCGCCCACTTCCCCACTCCTCCCACTCGCGCGCGCACCCCGCAACGGCGGGATTCAAATTCGAATCCCCCTCTCTCTCCCCCACCTGCCCACGTCGTCGGCGAGAAATCCGGCCGCCCCCAGCCACGTCCGCCTCCCCTCTCCGCCTATAAAACTCTCCCCGTGTCCCCCTCTCTCGCTTTTCGCTCTCGCTGCTCTCTCTCGTGCCCTCAATCACGCCCGCGCCGCTCGCCGCTAGCGCCGCCGCCGCCACCGATCCCCGGCCGCGTGCCGCCGCCACTACAGCCGCCGCCACACCATGCAATCGCCGCTGCTAGCTACGCCGGTGCCACCCGCACCTCGTCCGCCGCACGGTTGCCGCCGCTTGCCACCGGAACCCCTTCTTCCTCGCGCGCCGGTGAGCATTCCCATTTTCCCCGCCTTCGGCCGGCATTGCCGCTCGCCATGGACATCCTCTCTCCCTCTAAATCCTCCCATTTGCTCCCCTAGGTCACTCCGGACATCGTCCACCCGCTCGTCTCGCCGTTCGCCGCTTGCCGCCGTCATCCACCGTCGCCTCTTCTCGCGTCGGTCAACCCCATGGTGAGAACTCCCTCTCCTCCCTCTTTCTCCCCTCCCTTCCTCTCTCTCTGCCGCGCCGCCCGCCGCTTTTGCCGTGCCGACGCGCCTCGGTGCCGCCGCCGCTCACCATGACCGGCCAGCCGGCTTGAAGCCAAGCCAAGCCAGCCCGCCTTCCTCCTCCCCTTTGAGCCACCGCCTGGTGGGGCCCACCCGCCAGGCCACCTCCTCCTCTTGTGCCGCTGACCCATTGGTCCCGCTTGCCGGCGCCGTCCCCTCCTTGATGACGCCAGCCCTGGGGATTTATTGCGCAATAAACAAATATGGACTTTTCTTTATTAGTAAAAACACAGATAATCTTCCAAAAATCATAACTAATTCATCCGATCTCCGATTAAGTCCATTCAAGTCTCAGTAAATACATAAAAATGTATAGAATCCAATAAAAATGGTTTTGTTTCCTGTTTCAGTAGACTTATAGCATGTTTTTCTTATGTGCTTTGTTTGTCGCGTAGATTTCGACCGTTTTGTCGATCCGCGGTTTCCCGAAGACGTTGCTGTGGTCTCATCAGTGCGCTAGCAACGCAAGTCATGCATTACAATTGATCATATTGTACCCAATTTACAAATGTCCCGCATTTTTATTAAATGTTACATTGTTTTACAATATCATGTGGAATGGGTCCTACTACTCAGCCATAGATTGTTTACCTTATGCCATTGATAACTTGGGTTTTAAAATGACTAGATGTTGGTTAAGGAAATGCTTAGCCATGCTTAGTTCAACTAGTACTCAAAGGGCAATCACATTAATGCATAGACTTTGATTATTGGCATAGCTTTGGATTTAGTTAATTAAAATACACTATATGGTGGGCTGTGGGTGCATGGTTTTGCTAGTCGTGCCCATGGCGATTAAGGACCGGTTCGCGGGATGCCCTGGAAGAACTTATCGTACTTACCACAAGCCAGCGTGGGCAACGGCTGGGCTTGTAGTGTAGCTTTCCTCTAGCCGACGTACCCAGGCAAGGGTGGGCGTGATGGAGTTGGGTCGGCCGGGGTGTCCGGTTGATCGGCTGCCGGATTCACCGTGGCACGAGAGGGGACTGCCCGCTGCCTTGCGAGGAGTGGGGGTGAAACCTGAGGTGTGGTGCGATTGGTTAGAGGGGGTTATGCGAAGGGTCCTGTCACGTCCTCTTTCCGGTATGTCGTGGTGGCATGTCGGCGCACGGAAACGTGTCGTAGGGCTGTGTCTTGTGGGTACAGTTGTACACCTCTGATCAGAGTAAAACTATTCGAATAGCCGTGCTCGCGGTTATGGGCAGTCGACTAGATTCACCGTGATTAGTCCCACCCCTAGTTAGCTTTTGAACTGGTGTAGTTCAGGTGGTTGGTTGGGCCTGTTGTAACGTAGTGTAGCGTTGGACAGTGATTGGTTTATATTGATTAATTACTACAACAGTTTTTACTGCTTTCAACTACTGCTTTTAAATGCTAGCTTTATGCTAAAGAACCTTTAGCCTCCCTTGGATATATCCTGCATCATACCTTTTCTTCCGGTATGACTTGCTGAGTACAGTGGGTAGTACTCAGTCTTGCTCTCTTTTCCCCCACACCAGAGTTGAAGTTCTTCTCAGTTGGAGCTGTCTCGTTGAGGTTGGTTTCATCGCTGCCGTCAAGGATTGCCTGTGGAGTGGAGTCGCCCCGCTGCAGAAGTCAAGCTTTCAAGTCTACCTTGTTTTACTTTTTCCGCTGCATTTGTAATCTTTTATATTTTTGTAAGACGTGGATCTGTATGTCAACAATTGTCGTTTGTGTACCCTGGCTGGTCCTGGACAGGGGTTTAATACACATTCAGCTTAGAAATTCTGGTTCGTGAATTTCTGGGCGTGACACAGCCCTGCGGCATGGCCAGTGCCGACCAAAGGTACGGTGGCAGAAGTCGAGGCAAACACCACCGCTGCAGCTCTCCTTCCGTCATGCCCCGCCGCTTGCGCTCCGCGTCGCCGCTCACCGCCGCGCACGCGCTGCCCTGCGCCGCCTAGACTCGCTGTCGTTGCCCGCCGCCGCCCCGCCGCAGTGCACTACGCCGTCACCCGTCGCGTCTCGCGGCCAGATCTAGCCGTGGGAGCATGAGATCCGGCCTCAGCGAAGCCGGAGTCACTGCCTTCCGCCGGCGAGTGCCCCGCGGCGACCGGCTCGTCGCGCGTGACCCCGCCTCCCTCGCGCCAAAGGCGGTGTGCGCGGCGCCACGTTTTGGCCCCATCGCCGCCATCCTGGCACCCCACACGGTTGTCTGGCGGCGGCGAGGCAGAGAGAGGATGGAGTGTGGGCGGCGGCGGCGGCTAGGGTTTGCCCCTGAGCTGCCCGCGCGAGGGGCGACGCGAGGGATAGTTGCCCTTGTGTGCGCTTGTGTTTTCGAGTTGCCAAATTGACTAAATTTTTAGCTGTGACATTGGTCCATTTATATTTCTAGAGCTATCTTAAAGGTACAAACCAAAATTGTGAATAGGGTCCATGCATAAACTATCTATATATCCTAAACATTCCGATCATATCCTAAATGCTATCTAGGATGTTTGTATAACGCATCGCTGGGTCCGTCAACAAATTTTTGAACTGTAAACTTCAGTGAACAAAACTTCCGATCATGCAGCCTCTTCAATATATCTAACGTGGCTGACACGTACGCTATAACTAATGGGCTCACACGTCAACCACCCATATGAGAAGGCGGTATGTCATCCTGTCCACTCGGATTGTCCCATTCCAACCTCGAGGGCAGATTGGGAGGATATAGCTAGCTTGACTCACAACAAAAAATCATTTCTAGGTTTAAATATGGATATGTATATTTAAATCTAGAAGTGAGTAATTTTTTTTTGAACGGAGGAAGTGCTACCCTGCAACAAGCAGTCCATTTTGTGATCGCCGTGGCTTTGTGAACCTGTGGTAGTGTGGCGGCAGGCATGAGTCTGTAGCTTGTGTAGCAACCTTGAGACTGCGACGGAGGCTGTTGGGTTTCGTTGAATCGGCGGGGAAGCACGACTGGTGGTGAAATTATGGGTGTATAATACTATCCATTAAACTTAAATTTGATGTATACAAATATTACGCACATACAATTTTTAATAAAATTTTAGTGAGATTAAAGAATTGTGGTATTGTATGTGTAGTGGTATATGCGCGTGTGTCTCTGGTATGTAATAAATTAAAATAAAAAAACATAATGACTTTATGCATCAGTGGGTGACCGCCCTACGTGCGAGGCCACGACGTCACTCGTTCGTACCTCATGAGGCAGCAGCGGTGACACTAACGGTAGTTTGTTTTTTTTCCCTAGTTTTTTTTTTAGAACTGTTCTTTCTCTAGGTTATCACTGCCACTTGCCTAAACTGGTAGCGAAGCCATTTTATTATCTACTGGTGATATAGACCTTTTTGTTTTTAAAAATAAGGTCCATAAACATGAATGAAAGAAATTATTTTAAATATATTACTTTTATGTTTGATGATGTTGATTTTTGGACATGTGTGATAATGGCTTTGTGCATCCTTGGACGACCGGTCCGTGTGCGAGGCCACGACATCTCTTCGTGCTATACGGCAGACGCGGTGACAGTAACGGTTTTGTTTTTACCTAGTATCTTATTATCACTGCCAAATGCATAAACAGGTAACAAAGCCATTTTATTATTTAGTGGACCTATTTCTTCTTTAAAATGGAGCCATAAACGTGAATTAAAGAAACCAATATTTTTTTAATTTTTGATGACGTTATCTTCTATACGTAAGTTTGACTATTCATCTTATTACACAAAATATATAATTATCATTTATTTTGTTTGTGGTTTATTTTTTCATTATGCCAGTTGAAAAACCCACATATATAGGTACCGGTTTCCCAACCGACATCCCCAAAGCGGCACCAATGAGGAGAAATGATTGGTGCCAGTGTCTAGGAACTGGCACCTATAAGGTCCAACAAATCAAAAAAATATCCCGCTCGATGTATCGGTTCGATTTTATCCCACAGTATCTCATCAAAGAACAATTCATCGATATCTTCATTCATCAACATCCCATCCAATAAGAACAAACAACCATACTCCGAGATCGAGATTGAAAGATACCCAAGAACATCAATGAACAAAATTAAGCACATGAGAATTTCAAGCACACGAGACTCCGGATCTGGAAGACTTGGAAAGCTCTGAGGCCATCGGGAGGGAGGGAGGGCGCCACCGGCAGCGACAATGTGTGGGGAGGTCGCTAGCCGCCCCGCTGCACGCCGCCATGGGGAGGCCGCCAGCCGCTCGCCACGCGCCACCCTGGAGGGGTCTACCGGCCACCCGCACCCCCACGTGCCACCATGGGAAGGCAGCATTAACCCTACCACTGCCAGCGTCTGCCGCGACAGGCCGATCGCCCATACGCCGACTCCCCTCCCCCTCCCCGTTGCTGCCCACCGCGAGTAGTCGCTCGCCAAGATACCGACCCCGCCACCTCCGCCGTCCACCGCGACCGGCCACTCGCCCTGGCTAGATGCAGAAGGAGAATGGGGGAAGAGAGAAGGAGAGAGAGGGACAGGTGAGTGGAGGGGGCCGGGCGAGTGGATAAGGACGCATTTATCCATCCACTCGTGCGACTTTATCCACTTGATCGGTCGCGCCCCCGGTTTTCTCTCTCGATCAACTCGGCTCGTTTGATAGGTGCCGATTTTCTTAAAAAACCTGCATCTATAATATATTATATGTGTCGGTTTTTATTTAACCGGCAGCTATAATATATTAAAGGTGTCGTTTTTTTTTAAACCGACAACTATAGTATAATATAGGTGTCGATTTTTCTGTTAAACCGGCACCTATAATTACTTAAAGGTTCCCCTTTTTTGTATTTTCAGCCTGTGGAGGTGGGGAAAACACCTATAATTACCAATGAACTAGAAAAAATGCCCGTGCGTTGCAACGGGTGAGGTCTATTTTAATCTTATTATTGTTATATGGTTTAGTTAAGATGAAATTCACTGTGGGAGTTTGCTTGGATATACTGTATATATTTTTAGAAAATCATGAGCTGCAGTTAGGAATTTGATTGTCTCAAGTTAGCATGCGAGTTTTTTTAAACATATTTCTTATATGATTCCTTCTGTATTAAAAAGCCGACTCAAATACGGATTTGTATTTCTAAAAGCAAACGAACTTAAAAACCAACTCATACACGGATGACGTACCAAAATACCGGCAAAAACATCTTCAATTTTTTGCAGTGCATATTTACACATAATTTTATAAAATCACCAAATATATGTCAAAAAGTTAACGAAATAAATAAAAACAGTGGGAGTGTACTTTATTCATTGGTTGGCTGGTGTAATTTTTGTTACTCGAACCATTTGTATTGTACAAGTACTCCCTCTGTCCCATAATATAAGGGATTTTGTCTTTTTACTTGTACTGTTTGACCGTTCGTCTTATTTAAAAAAATTTAAAATTATTATTTATTTTATTTGTGACTTATTTTATTATCCAAAATATTTTAAGTACAACTTTTCGTTTTTTATATTTACACAAATTTTTTTGAATAGAACGAGTGGTCAAACAGTACAAGCAAAAAAGTTAAAATCCCTTATAATATGGGATGAAGGGAGTAGAATGTAATAAGGTGGTCGGTGACACACACAAGTTTATTTATACTTAGTAAAATGCCCATACGTTACAACGGGACGTCTCATATGAAAATTGGAATAAAAAATGAAGCGTGGTCTGGCATAATTAAGTGTCCCATGTTATGTTGTGTCGCATGGTACGTTTGTTTCAGTTGGCAGGTTTGAACTAATTAATTAAACTGCATAAAATAAACAAGGCATTGGATTAGACTGAGCAATTTCATAAGTGAAACTGATTTGTATGAATTATCAATCAAGAAACTATTGCCTTCAAGATCTAATTTTGACCATTAATTAATTTCTGCTCCCTCCATTTTGGGTTATAAGAAAGTCAAACTATTTTAAGTTTGACTAAGTTTGTAAACAAATATAGTAATATTTATAATATTAAATTAGTTTCATCAAATCAATAATTGAATATATTTTCATAACAAATTTATATTGGGTTAAAAATGTTACTACTTTTTTTACAAATTTAGTCAAATTTAAAGCATTTTGATTTTGACCAAAGTCAAAACATCTTGCAACCTAAAACGGAGAGAGTACCATGGTACATATACATATGTAAAACCAAAAAACAGTGAAATCCAGTAAAATTATAATCATCTCCCGTGCATACATGCTCCTGATGACCGACGTGGTCAACGCGGTGATCTAACGCCCAGCGCCTCCAACACGAATTGCTCGTACACGAGAGCAAATAGTTAGAACACTTCTTAAACAACTATAGCCGGAGATTTAAAATCTTGCTTAATTTACCTGCCTGTCCTCGTTCCCATCTTCAGGGTCTATCGCTAGGTTCCTCGCTCGCCCGATGCCTCCTGCGGTTTAGCCATGGCCTTGCTCAACGTTGGACAACTGTTATAAAACCGACCCGATATATATCTCGGAAACTGAACATGGAAGAAACATCATAAAAGATTCAAACATGAAGACGACACCGAGATACGATATTTGATAATAGAGTTCAGCCGATGTCTACATCTCCCGGTTACCGATTACGGGCGCTCCTCCCTGATCCAGCATATTACAGTGTATCCGGATATCCACGACCCTCCACCGGCTAGGCCGCCGGCCTATCGTACCCACACCTATGCTACTGTCGTCTTTCGGTTACAATTGGTGTGCCCCTCTATTTAAGAGAAAGGCTAGGATAGAGTCCGACTCTTACTCTAGTTCTAACACCTATTATAACTCCAAGTTCTAAACTGTAACAGACTATATACACATATTCAACACAAACTCTAACAACAGCAATAAGAGGAACACAACGGGATAGGGCGTCGTTGGGGGTGAGCATCAATTTAATTTGCATTGGCGGCGAGCTTGTCAAGAGGAAGGTGGAGGAGAATGCGGTGGGGGAAGACGATGTTGGGGAGCGACATCGGGATATGGCGACGTTGGGGGACAACATCGGTGGCAGTGGTGGCAGAAGTCGAGAGAGGCGGCGAACCCGGCAGATAAGGAATGCGGAGATGCGTAGAGCCGAGTGCTGCACTTGGAGCCGGGGCCATCTAGCGTTTACGTCCTAGCGCTGCGCTTGGAGCCAAGCCGACAGAGCATTCTGTCGGATCATTGCGTTGTCCACGTGTTGGCCACCAGGAGTGGGTTTGCACCTGGTTACTACCTTTTTTTTTCCCCTGCGGTTTCTCTGCTTCATCTTGGAGACGGCGGGTGAAACGGAATTAATACAAAATCGCACTTGGATTCAGACGACGACATACCAAAATTTTGATTAAAAACATCTTCAATTTTTATAATAATAGAGATAGAGAAGAGATATGAAAGCATTCGCAACTTGCATTAATTTCACTTTCTTTTTGAAATCACCGAGTGTCGTATATACTACTTTTGGTCCTTGCAAAGATCGATAAGATGGTCGTAAAAGGAGGTAGTATTTGAATCACTTCCCTTCAAAACTCGCGGTTTATGGTGGTTAATCAAAGCGATTGCGTACGTACGACCAACGTACTCGACCAATTTAGTCGTGCCTAAGCTTCACCAATCACCAGAGATCTCCACGGTATAAAATTAATATTGAGATGGCACCGTACAATATAAATAGAGCCTAGTTTCAGCTTTGCCCAAATCATGAAATCAAGTAGCTCTCCCCGATCGATTGAGTACTGCACAATACTCGACCTAAGCTAAGCTAGCTAGCTCGCTTGCATTGCCAGGCGATACTCATGGCACCTGCTCATCATCAGGCAGCGGCGGCCACCACCGTCACCACTCAAGATATCCGGCGAGCACAGCGCGCCGATGGCCCGGCCACCGTGCTCGCCATCGCCACGGCTAACCCGGAGACTCGCAGATCGCAGGATGAATATGCCGACTTCTACTTCCGCGTCACCAAGAGCGAGCATCTCCCTCAGCTCAAGGAGAAGCTCGAGAGGATCTGTAAGCACGCATGCACATCGACCGTATACGTTAATTTGTTCCTGCCGTTTCCAACCATTTTTTCGCCCATCTTATTATTTGAAACGTAACAACACTATAAAAAAAAAGATTTTTGTGGACCTCGGCATTCTTCTGCAAGCGGACCAAATGTAAAAAGAACGTAGGCCATCTCAGGGCCACAGACCGTCTAGCTGTGAAAGCCTAATTCTACAGGCTATTACTTAAGAAAACCATAAAAAAAAGTTCTATTAATATTTTCACTGGCGATTTTCCTAAGGTACCACCTATAAATTCTTTCAAAAAAAAGGTATGACCTATAAAAATAGAATGATTTATAGGTGATTATTTTAAGAAAATAAGGTATGTAAAAATCAATTTATTTGGACGGTTACCACCCATAAAAATAGGAGCGAACCTATTTCAAGAGAAAATACTACCTTTGTCCTAGAATATTAAAAGTTTTAAGGTTGAACACGGTCATTAAGAAAGTGGATAGAATTTAATGGAGGGAGGTTGTTATTGGTTGAGAAATAGAGGTAGGTGAAAAAATTAAATGGTGGAAAGTTGTGATTGGTTCGAAAGAGAATGTTGGTGAAGAAGTTGTTATACTTGGGACAGATTCTGAATGTTAGAAGTTGTTATATTTTTAGACGGATGGTGTATCTTTTTTACATGAAGTCAGATGATGAAAAATTTTATATGAAATTATAGCTCTCGATGAAACTTTACAGTTGAAAGTTTTTTTTATTTGCGATCATTGAGGGGCCAAAATATGTGTTAAAGCTCTTAAATCTATTTTTTAAAATGTTTTCTTATTTTTTTAAACAACCTTAGATGTAGACAAGTTCTATATTAACACTGTAGAGCTCTACGCAATGTACAACTTTATACTAGAAAGGTTTGATATTTAGATCATTTTGGTGTCTTAAAAAGTATAGTCATTACAAGCTCTTGTATCTATTTTGGGATTCTTTACAAAGTTCAAACTTTGAAAATTTCTTGCAAATTCGCAAGCCCCATCAAGGTAAAATATTCATATATGTGTGTGTGAGAGAGAGAGATCATTGTAGTATTTCCTTTAATATGACATAATTAGAATTTTCTTAGAATATTTCTTATATATAGTGATTCACTAATATCAGGTTGTATAACATATCGAATCATAGTCTACGTAAGTAAATAATCATATTGAAAGAAATATTTTAAGAAGATGGGCCTTGCCATATTAAATAAAATATTGTAAGTCTCATATAAAACTTTGATTCACCTTAATTAAAGCTAAAATTAGTTCTCTATAATTTTTTAAATTTAGTCATTATCAAAGAATAAAGAAAAAGTTTTTGCAGGACAAAATCTTAAAGAACCACCAATAAAATGATTTTTATAGGTGTACTTTTTAAATAGTCATAGGCAGTTCTCACCAAAAAAAATTCCTATAAATATCAACTATTGCAGACGGTTTCTTATAAAATTGGACCTTAAATATGGGACTATCACTGGAATATGAAAAAAAAATCATAATACTTTTTATATGAAGTCGGATGATGACAAACTTTACGGATATTGTAGCTCTCAGTGAGATCTATAACTTGTAGTGGAACCTGTTTTCATTTGAGATTGTTTATTAAGGGTCCAAATATTCATTTGAAAGAAAAAAAATGACATTTTGAGTTTTTCAAATAAACTCGGATAGAGAGATATGCTCTATATCAAAGTTGTATAGCTTATCACGATCTACATATTTAATTTAGTTGATGAGTTCTCCAATTGATGTCATTTAATTAATGTATAAAATATGTGTTAAAAGTTTTAGAGCGGTACAGAGTTAAAGAATAGCATCCAACCCATAGTCAACCCATTATAGTGTATATCTTAGGGGCAAGATTGTTGTATCTGCACAAGAAAATGCCATTATTAACAGATTCCTTTGCTAACTTCTGGAGCAAGTCCTCAATTAATACACAACAATGTTTTTTTGGTATCAATAATTGTGGGGAATCTAAAAATTGTGACAGACCCTCGAAGAATTCTATGCCAATTCATACTCTCTGATCTTCCTTTGATGACATGAATAGATATTTCTATGATAGACTTGATCTAGTAGGTGAGGACAGTGATAAGAGTGGTTATCTTGCCATTTTATAACTGACGCAACTATAATTTAATCAATTAAAATGATTTAGAAAATTATATTCCCATAGATCATAAATATTTGATATTTAGGATATAATTCGATCAAATCGTTGAAACTTAGCCCATAAAATTCTAGTATATTATAATAAGGTGATAAAATTTAATACCTTTATTTTTAAAATATATGGTGCTCTTAACTTTTGGATATGTCATTTGATCATTTGTATTATTTATAAACTATGTAAATATTATTTATTTTAATTCTATTTGTTTCATCATAAAATGTTTTTTAACCATGACTTATCTTTTTACGTATTTGTAGTATTTCTTTAAAAAAAGATGAAGAATCAAATACCTGTGTTCGAAAGTCAATAATATCATACAAGAGTACTTAAAATCAGAGAGAGTAATAAGCTCAAGGTATTATAATTGTATTTTTCAAGAAATATCAATGTGTGTGCATGACTATGTATTTTATAATGGTATTGAGATATTATTGATGGCTAAAAGTTTCAATTGAATTTATAAACGTTAAATATTTATGATTTGAGCCAGTGTTGGAGGAATTTGCGTGCTTATATTATATAATTAATATGGTTGATATATGTTACAGGTAAGAAATCCGGCATCGAAAATCGGTACACGTACGTGAACGACGAGGTCATGAAGGCCCATCCAGAGTTCTCCGATCGCAAGCTTCCATCCCTCGATGCGAGGGTAGAGATCGCTTCCAACGCCGTGCCGGAGCTCGCCGCGGCCGCCGCGTCGATGGCCATCGCAGAATGGGGGCGCCCGGCCACCGACATCACCCACCTCATTTTCAGCACATACTCTGACTTGAAGGCCCCGAGCAGCGACCGCCGGCTGGCGTCGCTCCTCGGGCTCCGCCATACCGTCTGCCGCACCATCCTTAGCCTCCACGGCTGCTACGGCGGCTGCAGGGCACTCCAGCTCGCCAAGGAACTCGCCGAGAACAACCGCGGTGCGCGCGTCCTCGTCGCCTGCTCCGAGATCAGCCTCATCGCGTTCTACGGCCCGGAGGAGGGCTACACAGACACAGACACCTTGGTTGCCCATGCGCTGTTCGGCGACGGCTCGGGCGCCGTCATCGTCGGCGCCGACCCGGTCGACGCCGTGGAGCGCCCGCTGTTCGAGATGGCATTCGCGTCGCAGACCACCGTCCCCGACAGCGAGGGCGCCATCACAGTCCAGCACAAGAAGGGCGGTATGGAGTACCACATCGCCAGAGGCTTGCCGGAGATGCTCGCCGGCAACATCAAGCGGTGCCTGGCCGACGCGTTCGGCGCCATCGGCGTCGCCGCCAGGTGGAAGGACCTCTTCTGGGCCGTCCACCCTGGCGGCCGCAGGATCCTGGACCTCATCGAGGAGGCGCTCGGGCTGGACAACGGCGCCATGGCGGCGAGCCGGCAGGTGCTGCGCGAGTACGGCAACATGAGCGGCACCACGGTGATCTTCGTGCTCAACGAGCTGCGCCGCCGGTTCGCCGCCGACGGCGCCGAGGGCGCCGACTGGGGCGCGTTGATGGCGTTCGGGCCGGGGATCACCGCCGAGACGATCTTGCTCCGCGTCGCAAGTGGCCTCAAGGGAAATTAATTAATTAGTAATAATTACCTGCTTGCTTAATTATACTGCACTGCGTTCCATTGGAAGGTAAGTAATAAAGAGTGTCGAGTCCTATATATGACTGCCTTTGTATTAGGTCATGGACACATTTAGGGCATCAAGTTTAAGGGGATTAGCAACTACTAAAAGGAGGTTTTCGAACTTATTCTAGTGTTTTGAATGGGACCATGGCCCTAAAAAGTTTGGATTGTGTACTCTAGTATGTTTTTTTAAAGTATGGTCATGTCATTTATATCTTAATTAGGATATTGTAATCTCAAAAAATAAATAAAGATCTTTGTGTGCAGTTACACCATGTCTTTCAATGAGATTTCACGTTTCATAATTGAATTTAAAATAAAAGGCACAAATGCTTTTCTGAATTGAATTTGAAATAAAAGGCACAAACGTGGTAGTTGGTAAATGAAATGCTTCTGATAATCAGATAAAAATTATGTTCAATTACAATTGGTACTTTGCTAACTCAAATCAATTGTGAACAAGGTAAGGGCTCCTTTTAAAAAACAGAGGAATATGAAAAACATAGAATTTTTATAAAAATAGTGTAAAATAGGGGATTACAAAAACTTGAATTTGATTAATTTTGCAAAAGTTTGGAGCTTACTAAGTTTTCTCCAAAATCTACATGCAATAAGCCATTTCATAGGAATTGTAAAGTTTCAATACTTTGCATCAAAGGGTCCAATAGAAAAATTTTCTATATACGATTTGAATCCTATGAATTTCTTTCATAAATCCTTTAAATCAAATGAGCCTAATATTTTGTTTTAGTTTTGGTTGGGGGGCGCCAAGCTCATGCTATAGTGCAACACTTGAGCGACACCTGAGGGTTCCAATGTCAAGCCACTATAATGAACCCTCCCACATCTCTATCTACTACTACTTAAAAAATAAGAGGTGCTTCCATCGTCCGTCAAAAAAACCAGGTGAAAAAAAACCGGAACGAATCCGATTCATCAACGCGGTAAAAGAAAAATCGGGAAAAAAAAAGAATATGTCCGATTCCACAAAAATAGGAAACAAACTCCCATCTGTTATACTAAGTCCTATTCGGTTAGCATCACCAGGAGAACCGACACCATTCACAGAGAGAGAGAAAGAGACGACGCCGCCACCTCTCCCGCCCCCGTCGGACCGCAGCCGCCTCCATGCCGCCGAATCTGGCGGAGGCGAGGTCCGGCCCGCCGCCCCTCCCACCCCCGCCGGGCTGCAGCTGCCTCCACACCGCCGGATCTGGCGGAGGCGAGGCCCGACCGGCGTTCCATGACGTCCGCCACCACCACCACTGCCGCACCTCCCCACCATGCAGAGAGAGAGAGAGAGAAAGAGACGACGCCGCTGCCTCTCCTGCCCTCGCCGGACCACAGCCGCTTCCATGCCGCCAGATCTGGCGGAGGCGAGGTCCGGCCCGCCGCCCCTCCCGCTCCCGCCGGGCCGCAGCCGCCTCCACGCCGCCGTTGTTCGGGGAGAGGGCGCCGCGCCGTTGGTTGTGGGGGAGGGCGCCGCCGCCGCCGCTCGGGGGCGCGGAGGGGAGGGCGGCGATGTGAGATGGGAGGGAGGGAAATGGGCTAGGGTTTCGGCGGCTGAGGAGAAGGAGGGGTTTTGTTTCCCCGATATCGACGCTCGGCCGTCCGATCAAAACCCTAAAGATCGGACGATCGGTGTCGTCCAGGCCGAAATCAGCCCAAGAGGGATCGAGAGTGAGGCCACTTTTCTGGCCCAAGCCCAGGTTGTGGCCTGGGGAGGGGAAGTGCACTTGCGCGTGCACAAAAGGCCGTGGACCGACCGGCAAGGGCCGGAAATAAGTCTATTTTAGGTCCCTCAGGCCCAAAAAAAGAGAATAAGTTCATTTTTAGTGCGCATTTTTTCAGAAGCATTACAATTATAAGTTATTGAATGTGTTTATTTCGAAGCAAACCTAAAAGGAAGTATTTTCTTTCTTTTTCCAAGTAAATAATTGTTAAATGACGTTTGTATTAATAAAATTAACAATTAAGCTCTGAAAAATTCAAATATAATTTCAAAGAGCGTAACTAATCATGGAGAATTTAAAAAAAATTAAATTTAACCATGTCATTTTATTTCTCACACTTGCTTTACTTGTAAATTTATTTAATTATACACATACCTACTTAAAAATACCAAATATTTCAGTGAATTTGTATTTTAATTAATTGCATATTTTTCTAAACTGTACGCTTCACATTGTAACACACAGGCACTTTTGCTAGACCAAACAACACTTTTGGTCAATATACACACTCCGTAATCACCCGGTGCAACGCACGGGCACTTTTGCTAGTACTTAAAAAATAAAAAAAATAAGAGGTGCTTCCATCGTACGTCAAAAAAACCAGACAAAAAAACCAAATCTGTCCGATAAAAAAACCGGGTGGAAAAAAGGAAAAAAACCAAACATGTCCGATCAAAAAAGGTGAAAAAAGAAAAACCGGGCAAAAAAACCAAATCTATCCGATCCAGAAAAAACCAGGTGAAAAAAAGAAAAAAAAACAAACCTGTCCGATTGGCGAAAAAAGGGGGAAAAATCGGATCTATAAAAACGAATCCAACTCCTTCGACGTTGTAAAAAGAAGAACGAAAAAAATAAAAAAAGAATCTGTCCGATTCTCTATCCCTTCTCTATCTCTAAATGGAAAAAAAATCCAACTCTAGATCCGATTTCCCCTTAAAAACGCACCTCTCCAGATCCCAGGCACCACTCCGCTCGGTTTTAATCTATATCGTCATATCCCATACATCTTGGTGAAAAAATTGATGTGCCGGATTGGAGATCTGTTTGCAAAAAGGGAACCTATATGTCGAGAGCATTCTATTTTTATATGATTTTAATTTTTGGGTATGTACTTTTGCATTTGAGTCCCTGTAATTTTTATATTTATATTTAAGTCCCTATAATCTTGCAATAAGGTATTTGAGGTTGTTTTTGTTAAAAAGAATAATAAAAGGGAGATAACAAAGGCAGAAAGGTGCACAAAAAGGAAAAGAAAATAAAGGAAAAAAAAACAACAACAACAACAAAAGTCTGTTTCCCTAAGTGGCCAAAAAAACCATAGATCGGAACGAAAAAAAATCCTATTCCTATAAAAGGCAAAAAAAAAGTGGTGAAAAAAATGCTAAATCCAATTCCTTTAAAAACGGAAAAAAAATGTCTGATTCCTATAAAGGTGAAAAAAATCTGAAAAAAACATCTAAAAAAGTTGATCCGATTCCCTAAGAAAATAAGGTTCGTAAAAAAATAAAAAGCTGGTTGTATGAATTAAAAAATGCACACGAGAAAAAAATAGAATGGGTGAAACAAAGTCTGATTTCTAATCAGTATATATCTCTTCTCTATCTCTAATCTAATCTAACTATTTAAAAAGAAAAAATGCATGAGAAAATAAAACGGTTCAAAAAAACGCGTGAGAAAAAAGTCAGAAAAAAGCACAAAAAAAACCACTCTAAAAAGGTTTTCCATCTTCCATAAAAAATAAAAAAATGTGCAAGAAAAGTTATTTCCATCGTTGGTAATTTTTTTAAAAAAAAAAAAACATGCGAGGAAAAAACTACCATAAAAACGCGCCATTTCTAAAAAATGGTTTGAGAAAACCTCACAAGAAAAAAAAGACACCGTCTGTTAAAAAATAAATCGCTCTGAAAAAACTATAAGAAAAATCGCTAAATTGATGGACGCTTGAGTTGGATAGAATCCATCAATTTTTTGCCATCTACTACATGGCTTTTATTTCGTCGTATATTCTCCTGTATTAGAAAAAAGTAAAAAAAACATTCGAAAATACAAGGAAAAAAATGCGCGAGAAAATAATTGTTAGAAAAAATAGGCAAAAAAAACACGAGAAAAAAAAGCAAAAAAGGGGGAGAAAAATATAGTTTTCGTCGTCAATATAAAAAAGCAAAAAAAAACATGCTAAGAAAAAATATTAGAAAGAAATGTGCCATTTCTAAAAAATGGTTTGAGAAAAATCGCGAACACCGTTTATAAAAAAAACAAGCCGCTCATTAAAATATAAACATTGTCATTGACAACATTATGCATGAAAAATATATATTATCATTAGAATTTTTTCACCCGTTACAACGCACGGTTATTTTTGCTAGTAATAAAAATAAATTTAATATCATCGTCATTTTTGCTAGTAATGAAAATAAATTTAATATCATCGTAGGCTCATGACCCACGTATCAGATAATAAAATAATAAGAACCGATATTATACTTGATCTTAGCCAAAGGCCGAGAAAGGTATGAGTTGTAAATGGGTATCAGATGTCCTTTTATTGATAGCATCTGTCGCTTACTGCTCAGAACCAGCGATGTGGTACTAAATTCAAATTCAGATTAGGAATAAGTTCAGTTTAGTTCCCTCTATTTGTCGCCCAGTCTGATTTTCGTCCCTGAACCGCAAAACCGGGTACGACACATCCCCCAACTTACGAAAACCGGGCAAACGAGGTCCCTCGACGGTTTTGATAGCGGTTTTAGCTGACGTGACGCCTACGTGGCTAATTTGACTCGGTCTTCATCTGACGTGGCACTAACGTGGCGCTTATGTGGCAATTTGATCGGAAAAAAATAATAAAACCAGTGGGACCCACATGTCAGTTTCACACACAAATAGAGGAAAAAATGATGGGACCCACGTGGGCCCCACATGTCATCCTCACTTCTCCCTCTTCTCTCTCTCCGCCCGATGGAACAGGGCGAGCGGCAGCGGCAGAAGCGGGCGACATGCGGGGCGGAGCGGCTGGCCAGCGGAGCGAGGCGGGGCAGCGGCCGATGGCGGGCTAGGTCAGGTCCTCCTCCTCGTGTTTGCGGCTAGCTCGCTGGATCTTCATGACCTCGTCCGGTGCATCGCGCCACTTGCAGGCGGTGGCGCCGCCTCGTCACCAGCAACGCGGTGTACATCTGCCGGTCCATGCCGCCCTCCAGCCGCCTCATCCGCGACCTCATCGTCGGCTTCTTCCACCAGACCCACGAGGACGACTCGTCTTCCTCGGTCGCGCCGCCTCGGTTCATCCCGTTGCCCTCGGCCTCCTCCAGGTTCGGCGACGGCGAGCTTGACAGGGTGTTTGACAACCCCGGCCTCTTCAAGAACTCCTGCCTCGTCGCATCACGGATAGGCCGCCTCATCGTCGAGCTCCGCCGTCCTTAAGTGACAGGTTTCCCTAAGTCATCGACGAACAAGCTGTGGAAACACACGCGAACACGAGGAAACACGCTTAGTTTTGTGGTGCGATGAAGCTGCACCTTTTCTGGTTTTCTTTCTCCCTTTCATTATGCAGGTGAGCGCATTGGATGCGTTCCTACGTCGTGGTACAATCGCGTCCATCCCCACGATCCTAACAACGTGCTCACACCTCCGATCGCCAAGGTCGGCATGACTACCACTACATGCATGGCATCCACAGATCGGAAGCTCATGCACAATGCAATAACAGAATTGAAACCGATAGCTAACAGTTAGTAGCTACATGCATGCAAGATTTAAGTAACATTAAGCTCGTCGTGTGCAACCCCATGACCGGTGACATGTCCATCCTCCTCCCCGTCCTCTCGGGAAGGACAGGCCCGGGCTCTACGCGTGCGCGCTGCTCACCGCCGACGATCTCCAGGACTCCGCCGATCTGCTCTCACCGGGTCCCGCCGCCTTCCGCCTGTTGGTCCTCTACTAGCGCCGTAGCTTCACGGTGTGCCGGTCCTACTCGTCGGACACCAAGGCCTGGAGCACCGAGTGCAAGCCATCCGGCGGGACGGACCTCGCCGCGGGGGCGGGGCTAGCCACCGCCGCCGCCGGCAATCCGAAGGACGATGGGGGAGATGGAGGCCGCCATCGCCGCCCTCCCCGTGAAGAAGGAGGCGCTGCGGGAGAATGGCTGGCGCGCCGCGACCTGACCTAGCCCGCCGTCGGCCAGTGCCCTGCCCCGCCCGTCGCCCGCCGCTCGCCCTGTTCCATCGGCCGGAGAGAGAGAAGGGATAGAGAGAAGAGGGGAGAGAGAGGATAGTGAGAGGAGTGAGGATGACATATGGGGCCTACGTGGGTCCCACCATTTTTCCTCTATTTGTGTGAAACTGGCATGTGGGTCCCACTGGTTTTATTATTTTTCAGATCAAATTGCCACGTCAGTGCCACATCAGATGAAGACCGAGTTGAATTAGCCACGTAGTCGTCACGTCAGCCAAAACCACTATCAAAACCATCGAGGGACCTCGTTTGTCCGGTTTTCGTAAGTTGGGGGATGGGTCGTACCCGGTTTTACGGTACAGGGACGAATATCACTGTTAACAAATGAGGGACCTAAGGCGAACTTATTCCTTTAGATTATCATCGCACCCTGTTCGATTTCATGGGCCTTTGGGAGGTGGGCCTACCCGTCCTTGCAAACATAGCCCATGTCACGTCTAGCCCATATAGTTGGCCCATTATTATTTGTAGTCCATGAAATTTGAAGTAGCCTATCTTTATGCTGGTTAAGTTGTTTTTGTGTAGTGCTTAAAAAAAAGTTGTTTTCTTGGTGTGTTCAGTTATTTGGGTGTAAAATTTTTGAAGTATACAGATATACATCTAAAGTATTAAATGTAGACTAATAACAAAATAAATTGCATATTCCACCAGTAAACTGCGAGACGAATTTATTAAGCCTAATTAATCCGTCATTAACAAATGTTTACTGTAGCATCACATTATCAAATCATGGCGTAATTACGCTCAAAAGATTCGTCTCGCAATTTACATGCAAACTGTGCAATTTTTTTTTCCTATATATTTAATGTCCCATGTATCTGAACATTTGATATGATGTTTTTGGCTAAAATTTTTTTTTCTAAACAAGGCCATCTGCGTAACAAATCTTTGGGGGAAATGATAAAAAAAAATCTCTGGAAAAGCTAGTTGACGCGTATGCGCCCGCAGCGTGCACGCTACGTGGTGGCCCACCAAGCCCATTTGACCACGCGTGCCCATCATCTCACGTGCGAAGATTTGCCTCTGTTCGCGGGCATCTGCAGCACCATCAATCATTCATGGACACGACAGCTAACAGCCAAGTCTATAAATGATTCACTTTGTACCACAACCAAACGATGTTTAGGAAGTTTTTTTTAATCTACTCTTTGTTGAAAATTTGGTCATAATTCGATATATTTTAATTCAAAATATTAAGACAATAAACATGATATTTACAATATAAGTAGATCTAGTGACAGTGCTAGATATATACAACTTGAGCATGCTTAATATAAAATAAGCATCAACATTTACATAGTAACGCAATGCTGCCATTGCAAAGAGTATTAACAAAGAAACATCTAATAGAATCGAGAGAATGAAAGTATACCCTGAGAACGTCCCACCGCTGGATTTTGAGGCAGTATTGCCTCCGTTGATGTCGTTCATCGTCTTGTCTCCAATCTCCGTCGACATCTTGGTGAAGGCGCCAATACAGCAGCAGTAGCCGCGAAGAACAAGAGCAGTCATGTTTGAAGCGCTACTCAAAAACTTGATCGCCCACCTACCCGTGCATGTTCTCAAGCGGACGGAGTTCCGGAGGCACTTGCTCGTCCCGTACACCTGTACGCGCAGGTGAACAGAACCGGGGAAGGATTCTGCAGCGCAGGAACAGTGGAGGAAGAACTCGAAGTGCAAGAGACGTCGGGAAGAAGAACTTCTTCATGTCCTTCTGGTCGCTGCGGAGTATATATATATATGCGAGCACGAGAGTAACGTTCGGAGTCATCAACCGCGGTGTTTAATTTAGTAAATGATGCGCTCGTTAATACCGAATCAATTCACGGCGTTTAATTCCATAACCGATGGAATCAATTCATGGAGTTTAATTCCGTAACCGATGCGTTCATTAATACGAAATCAATTCTCCGTTTTTGTTGCCGTCCGTTACAAAACGAGTGAGCGCAGCAGTAGCAGCTGCTTGCCTCGCCTCGCCCCGCTCCGCCTGGCTGTCCACACACCATCTCAACCGGTCAACAGAGACTCACCACTAGCTCCGTATTTAAGTTGAGACCTCTTCACCCGATTTCCAAGGTAGTATTATTACCCATAGCACTTAATGTGGGCCAATGGAATTTATTAGGATTTAATTGGGCCTAGCCCATTAATCTAACACTCTCTGTATCGGCGTAGCCAGGGATTTCTCCTCGGGTAGTCCTAGTTCACACGTTCATGTCACGTGGTAAAATTTTTTGTACCATAAAGCCAATATACAAATACAAATTTAGTGAAAATGTGATAGAAATTTAGTGAAAATATATATATTCTTTGTACCAATGAAGCCATTCGAAGAACAAGAAGAGGCTGCAATCTTCATAGCTTCATGTTTCCGAAATAACGACTCGATATTTCCACTCCTCTTCATGTTTTACTAATCCTACAAACAATAGCATGCATTCACTAATCAGTAACAATTTATAAATTGCACACTCAGTTATTCGTAGGCTCACTAATCTCTAATCACAATTCACAAATCGATTCACCTGGGCTGAAGGGTGGACCGCCCGCGCCGGATCGGTGGAGACGTGGAGCAGGAGAGCTGTGAGCAGGAGGAGAAGGCGAGCGGCCGGCGGCCGGCGGCCCGTGGCTAGAGTCCGGCGAGGCGGCCCCCGTCTTGGCGCGGCACCGGTGTGGACGACGGACGCAGGAGTGCAGGACCCGGCACAGCGTGGCTACAGGGCGGACGACGGCATGGCCCGGCCCCGCGGACGGCGGGGACGCCGGAGAGGGGATGGCGCGGACTCGCGGTGCCGACGCGGACGGAGGAGAGGGGATGGCGCTGCGCCGGTGCGGATGGCGGGGAATGGACGACGCGGAGGAGGGGAGGGGACGGTGCGGCGCCGACGTGGACAGCAAGGACGGCGTGGATGGTGGTGGCGGCGTCGGGCGAACTGGCGAAGGACTGAAGGACTGAAGGAGTTGATGGATTGGAGTCCCTCCAAGGCTCCAACCCAAGTTGTTTCCGGGCTATTTGGGGCAACTAACATATTTGGGCCTAAATTTTTTGGGGGGTGAGGGGTCTCTGGGCCAGACTTTAGGTAGCCCCGAGCCCACTGGGACAACCCCTTAGCTACGCCCCTGTGATTCCAACCAACGATAGCATATACCGATGGTTATTAGAATCTCTGTACGCTCAGTTTTTTTTAAAAAAAGTAATTATTCCATAGAAAATTAAAACTTTGAACTTACAATTTCAAAAAACCATCCAAGTTTTAAAAACTTTCAACTCAATATTTGCATACTTTCCACTTAAATTAAAACTTTCAACTCGAAAGTTAAAACTTCACTCAAATTTTACAAATTTTCAACTTGAAATTTGGACTTTTAAGTCAAATTTTGAAAACTTTCAACTCAAACTTTGGAAAATTTAAATTCATAGTTTAAACTTTTAAGTCAAATTTTTAAAACTTCAACTTTTCAAATTTCAACTCAAATTTGGAAATCTTTCAACTCAAGATTTGAAACTTTCAAGTTAAAATTTGGAAACTTTCAAATCAAGATTTATTCATGTTTTGAATTTTGAGTTGGAATTTTTAATATTTGAGTTTTGAGTTTTGAAATTTGAGTTCAAATTTCGAGTTGAATGTTTTCAATAAAATGTTTTGAAATTTTGAGCTGAAAAATTTAAATTGGTAAATACATTAAAAAGAAAAAACAAGTGTTGAAGATTAAAAAAAATTGAAAAAACATGAAAAAAAAAGAAAACACGTGTGTAGGGAGAGGGGGGGGGGCGGTGCCCAAATCGGGAAAAAAATTACGAAAAAAGGGAAAGAAACCCGTGCGGGGGAGGAGGGGGAGCCAAATCTATGGTCCTTTTGGTTGACCAATTTCTGATCTGCAAACTTCAGTGGATCATCTGTCCTGCAGCCTCTTCAATCTGGTAGTATACATCGAAAGTATTACTTTTTTTTTAAAGATCATGGAATAAAAAAGTTGGAACACTTCTATTTTTTAGACATCGAAAGCATTACTATTGGAACAAATCGGACAATTCTACAACATAATGAACACCTGAATTCTTAATTTACATCTCGCTCCAGATGACCTCAGCAGGTCGATTCTTATTGTGACACACTGATAGACACAAACACTTGACACTAAGGAGTACAAATATAACCGCAGAAACTACAAACCAACAGCACACATATCGGAGGTACACATTGCAAACAACGTCCACACGCATAGTCTACAATATCACATTCAGAGACCAGCTGCACCTGCAGCTCCATCGACGACCATCGGACACTGCTCAGAGGGTAACACCTGGGACGTGAACCCACTCCAGCTGCAGCACGATCAGGCCACTGTCAACCTTGCTCAGCTTCAGAGTGATGTCTTGGACGACCTTGCCATTTTTCCATGAAACGTGGCTCTCTGCGCCAAGATAGTTCACACCAACTGGGTAGATCGTCTTGATCCTGGCCCCGTCAGAGACATGCTTTAGATCCAGCTTAGCAGCATCGTAGATGTCAGTCACGTTGAACTCAGCTACGCCCATGCTGTCATCTGCTGTGAATTTATCCTCATCGAAAACTTCCTGCATGTTTTTAACAGTTCAGAAACAGAGGCAGAATAGGTACTCAAAAGAATCTTATTTATCAGGCAGTATCAAACTGATCTAGATATTTATATATTTATCTGTTTGTATGAATATTGGAAAGATCAGTCTGAAGCAACTCAAGTAGCATACTTACAAGTTTTACTGGCTTTGTAGGATTTGTGACTGCGAGCTGCAGTACTTCATTCCAGACAGGATTGGAATTCTTCTTCTGGACACTGGTCTTCACTTTCTATACCATCAGTAAAAGAACACTTCAGTGATAAAAAAATATGGTAAGATTGGGAGTAACATATAAAAAATTGATGAGCATCCGAAGAATATAACATGTATGCCTCTGCAAAAGCTACAGTTTACATAATCAACAATGCAAAACACTAAACTGAAAAATCTGCCATCATACTTAACATTATCATGATATCAACTGCAGTCACTGTTCATTAAGTGGACAAATATGATAAGTATAAAAATTGTAGCATTAGAAAAAAAAACTACACAAGGGAATTTAATAGAACATGACATCTTCTTGGTGACATTTCAATGCATTGTAGTCTGCAGTGAGTAGGTAACCATACAGTGCAGCAACTGTGGACCAAATGCTTATCAAATGACAACATATGAAGAGACCCTTCAACAAACTGAGAAGCGTGATCGTCCATCATTTACACTGTAAACCTTTTTTACAAACCGACAACGTGAACTGAAAATACCAAGGAAAATCATGTTGGATAAGCTTCATCACTTGATGAGCTACCAACAGCAAGACCATTTTACAAGGGGAATGTGCCATTTTGAGCATCAATTCAGCATTCGTGTGATGCGTCATGAAAGACTATCCAAGATTTGTCATTACAGAGTTAAGAGTGATGTTCTGCGAAGCTGTATATCCCTTAGCTGACAAGATTTGTCATTACAGGGCTTGTTACTCTGCTCTTCAGTTCAAAATTCGTCAAAGCATAACTACCCCTTAGTTAACAAAATTTGTTCTGATTAACCAGTTTTGCAGGTCCATGGACAACTGACCAAACTGGGACTGAAGGCCAACTCAAACCGACCAAAATTCAGAATTTTTAAATTCAGCAATGCGAATTTAAGCGTCCTGTTTAGCTCAACTGGCAGTCAGTCACCCTATCAAATCGAAAGGCCAAAAAAAAAATCCCTGGAAAGTCGCGAACATGTCGCCATCTTATCAAACACCTTGTGAGCACACACAGCGACAGATTCGCACCCCGGTCCCGGACAAAGCGGACGCCAACATTTCTTGGCTTCACGTACGGATACCGCGGCAGATCGATCGAAGACCCCCCCGTCCCGAGCCCCGGATCCCCAAAATGCGGAGGTCAGTCACGAAGGATCCCCAAACGCAAGAAAGGAAGAAATTAAGGGAACATGGGTATGGCGGTGGCGGACCTGTGGGCCGTAGGAGAGGACGACGTAGGGGTCGCTGGTGTGGGTGAGCGGGTCGGCGATGATGAGGTTGGAGCCCCGCACCACGCGGACGTTGAGCTTCCCGATCACCTCCTCCTTGTGCGCCGCCGCCGCCGCCATGTCGAAGCCGCGTTTCGAGAGGGGAGGGGAGGAGGAGTAGTAGGTGTCGCTGGTGAATGCGGCCAACGGGGTAGCCGGCCTGCACCGTTATATAGAGGCCACGGCCTGCACTGCTGCGAGTAGGTGGCTCCCCACTCTCCAGTCTCCGGTGGCAATTTACAAGTCGAGTAGTCTATTGGCTGTGTTTTTTTGGTCGAATTTTGACAATTTGACCCTTTACGAAAACTAATTTTACATATAAACCATGGCCAAAACTTATATCAGAAATGACCCTTTTGTTCAGCGCTAAATCGTATGGCGCTGAACTTAGACACCTCAGCGCCATGTCGACTGGCGTTGAATGCCGTGCCACCGTAGATGGGAGGCTGAGTTGGCGTGCTAACGTGCATTCAGCGCCATGGTATTTGATGTTGAGGTGTCTAAATTCAGCGACATACGATTTGGCGCTTAACAAAAAGGTTATTTTTTAAATAAGTTTTGGCCACTGTTCATTTATAAAAATAGTTTTTGTAAAGGGTCGAATTGTCAAAAATCTGTGGTGTTTTTTTCAATTCTTTCCCAACTCTTCCAAACTGTTAAACTTTTTACAAATTTTTTCTATACAAAAATTGCTTTAGAAAATCATATTAATTTATTTTTAAAAATAAAAATATATATTAATTAATTAATTATATGCTAATGAATCATTTCGTTTTGTTTGTGTGGGTGTGGGATTCATTCCCAACACCACAAGCCGAAAGCAGCCTTAGGTCGATAGTGGCACCCACTTGGCCATTCACAGTATCTATAGCAATTCTAATAATTTAAATTTAAAGTGGTGTGATTGACTTAATATGAAGTTTGGATGCTTCCATGGTTTATATCCACACATTGCTTGACCTCAGTGGCAGATCCAGAAAGAAATAGCAGTGGGGTTTGAGCAAATTAGATAGAGTTACAGTCCCCTTTCCATTTATATATGGTAAAAAAATTTAGTGGGGTTTTCATGGGGGCTCTCATAGTCTTTAGGTTAGTAGTGGGGGCTCGAGACCCCACCGCCCCCGTACTGGATCCGCCCCTGCTTGACCTTTGCTATTTTGTCTACTCCAATAATTATTTATAACACAATTCATTTACTATAAATTTATAATTTTTGAAGACATATATGGTGACTTGTTAATTAAATTACTTACTACTTCACTGGCTATATAAGGGTTCAAATCTTGGTGCCCATGATTTACATACATATGCTCACGTGAGGCTAGGTGTGCAATTAGTTTTTTCATTTATCTATATATAATGCCTCGTACATATTTCCAAAGATTCGATGTGATGTTTTTGGGAAAAACTTTTGGAGAACTAAACGGGGTTCACCGATGAGGACATCGCCGCATTGGTGTCTCCGTCGTCATCATTTTCTAAGAACTACGTCAACCTCATCAACCGTCGTGTGTAGCTCTGCCTATATATCAGGCTGGCAGCGATCTCCTCCAACCTGCCTTGCTACTATGCATAGATATTGCATGGAAAGAAGACGCTGATGACCCATTTTTTTCTTCGGCATACGCCTTTCTCTCAACTCCACCATACTCCCTTTCCCCTCACCAGCACGTGCGAGGTGCCGTACAAGGAAAGAAGCTAAAAGGTGGTGTTTGGATCAGTAACTTAACTTTAACTTTAGTCCCTGTATTTAGACACTAATTTAGAGTATTAAATATAAACTACTTACAAAATTAATTATATAAATGAAAGCTAATTCGTGAGACAAAATTTTTAAACCTAATTAATCCATAATTAGAGAATGTTTACTGTAGCATCACATAGGCTAATCATGGATTAATTAGGCTCAATAGATTCGTCTCGCGAATTAGTCCAAGATTATGGATGGGTTTTATTAATAGCCTATGTTTAATATTTATAATTAGTGTCCAAACATCCGATGTGATAGGGACTTAAAAGTTTTAGTCCCATCTAAACTGTGTCTAATATGGGCCAGGGTAATACTTTGATTTTTTTTTTAACAAAAAAGATCAAGAAAAGCCCATTTTACTATTCTGAACTAATTCGATGGATCACTTAACCCTAAACTAATTTTTTTCTCATTCTACTCTCTAAACTTTTGAAAATAATATTTTTTTCGTTACTCTTTATACGAGTTATATTTTAAACTGGAATTTGTTAGCCATAGATGGGACAATTATCGAAGTTCAATTTTTTTTCATTTTTGATGGTTGTTTGCTTGAAGTTTAAAATTTTTGATGTTTAAATCAGTTTTAAATGCTTTTAACCAATGTAAACCACGAGAATTGTTTTTTTTTAAAAAAATATATTTCTACAAAATTATCAGTGTAAAATACTATTTATATAAAGAGAAAAAAGCGGAATAATGTTAGGGGAGTGAAGCAAAGTGAACTATTTTCAATAGTTTGAGGTGTAAAATGAGCCAAAGAAATACTTTAGGGAGTTGAGTGTTTCGGTGAAATAGTCCAGGGTAGTAAAATGGACATTTTTTGCAAAAAAAAAAAAGAATTATTGTTCTTTAGGCATTTATCTCCAATAGATGATCAAAACATATTGCTTAACAGTGCTAGTGAAACTTAACGACGGAGTGGCACGCCTGCCACTTTTGGAGGAAACTAGTGGCATAATAGCAATTAGACAAGTACTGACATATTTACAAATATTGAAAACCCTAGCGGCATACTATGTGCAATTGAATGTATGATTGATCTCTTTCAAAGCTATAATTAATTAGGATAGAGAGTGAAATAATCATGATAGCTTGTCTTTGTCATTTGGTCTTATTATTAAACAGATACTCTCAAGAAAATGGACATCAATCGTGAACAAAGGGAGTAACGATCATACAAAATATTAGGGCACCCACGATAGTTATCTATAGGCTCTCTACAAGAGATCTATGTCAGCATATTTTCCTACATGGAAGATATTAAATGAAGAGAGAGGGCAAAGCTATCTACTAACTTAGAGATAGTCTATAGAGAAAAACGAGGCAATGCATGAGAGAGCTATAGATACCCATGTAGACATACTATTGAGGTGGTTTACTATTAATCTAGTCTATTGCTGAGATGTACATGTTTTATAGATAGCACCTTACTTTACCATTGCGGGTGCTCTTAACCATATTTTTGGCTAAAAATATTATTTGCTATCCTTTCAAATATATAATTTTATTGTCTTTTGAATATGCCTTTTATTATATATCTTATTTAAAAGTGTTGTACAAGTATAAAATATATTTTATTTCTAAAGCATATTTCAACAAATGAATACTGAAACCTATGTCAAGAAGTCAATGGTATTATATATTAAAAAACAGATCAGGATCTACAAGTTAGCAACTTTGAAATCCGACTAATATAATATAATGTTTCTTCTTTCCTCATATAACTTATATATGCAAATTTTCGAAAAAAGTTTAAGCACACGTATCTTTATTGGCTCGCGACCAAATTGATGAAGACAAAAGCCTGAATTGTTGCAGGTGCATGTTTGTTGTACGAGTACTAGATATCAAGCCTGAGTTTTTTTTTTCGGGGATAGTTATTGTAGGCACATCAGCGCATTATATTTCAGCAGTATCATTTTCTGCTTTGATCATGGTTTGAAACAAAGGATAATCTTCTAGTACTAAGTTTTCCACTGTTTATATCCAACATTTGACCGTCAATTTTATTTTAAAAAAATTATGATTACTATTTTATTATTACTAGATGATAAAACATGAATAATACTGCACTTAAAATGGGACAGAAACATGAATAACTTTTTTTAAAAAAATCATAATTTTTTCTAAATAGAACGATCGGATATGGAAACACATTACTGCAATTAAAATGGGACGGAGTAGTATTTATTCTCATGTGGGCCCCTAAGTGAACAATTAATTACAGACAACGACCTCACCTTCCCTGCCACATGTTTCTCGCACTGTCATACTCTTTGCTTAGCTGTTTCAGACTTCCAGTGCTAACCAACCGATCCACACGAGAAAACACTATTCTGACCATCGGATAGATGCTGGGTGAGCATTGAGACGTGTACACGTACTGTGGAAGAGCAGACTTGGCTGTTGGATAGTACCACTTGGGGCGTGTTTAGTTCATGTGCCAAAATTTTTTTTAAGTATATATATACATTTAAAGTATTAAATATAGATTAATAATAAAATAAATTACAGATTCCGCATGTAAACTGCGAGACGAATTTATTAAGCCTAATTAATTTGTCATTAGCAAATGTTTACTATAGCATCACATTGTCAAATCATGGCGTAATTAGGCTCAAAAGATTTGTCTCGCAATTTACATGTAAACTGTGAAATTGGTTTTTTTTTCCACATTTAATACTCCATGCATATGTTCAAATATTTGATGTGACGGAATTTTTGAAAGTTTGAAGAGAACAAAACACTGCCTCGGATAAATATGGCCTCTTTTCTCTGCCTTGTGTCGCTCGTGCTACTGAATAATTAATTATCCGTAGACTGATCTGATCGATCTGGCATTCAGCTTGATCTGATTAATCTACAGTATACTCCTACTGCTCATGGTAAAATGCTTTATTAGTAGGGAGTTCAGTCACAACGTCAACTAGCGTGTAAAACATGTGTACTAGGTATATAATGGTGATTTCTGATCACTCACTAGTTAGTGTATTGATTTGCAAGTTCTGTATTTTACTATCTGAAATCTCGTTAAATTAAGTGCAGAGCCTTTAATTACAGTGCTGCAACCTGAACTCCTGAAGACACTCTTGTTGATTTCGGATAATTACTATACATATTAAACAAGATGAGAAAAGAAACTTTGGAAGATCATTAGAATTAGTCAGAGCAAGTTTAATAGTATAGCCAACTACTAGCTTCAAATCATCTAGAGCCAATGTAATAGCCAATTAATACAATAGTTGCTTACTATACTATTAATACCCGATCCTAGTTGTCATACACTTGTTACATTTTGGAGTCTGTGCTGCAGCTGGTTATAGATCTGTAGCCCGCTGCTCTTCTCTCTCTTTATTTATTTCTTTAAAATATGTTTATAGCTGTCTATACATGCTCTCAGGATGAAT